AGACAGCAAAGAGCCTTCACTATTTCAGAGCTGTTTCCGACAAAATGACCACAATCTTCAAAACAGGACAATTCAGGCTATGCAATATCTAGTCCTTTTAAGTAACTCAATAATAAGTTAAACTAATAGGCCTGCAGAAAGACCACTCATAAGCACTCCAAGAGAAGCAATCTCTTATGAAGACCTAAGTCGTACTCATGTAGCACCCTAGAAAAGGTAAGTAAACTGCGAGTAAATAAAAGGTTCTATGTACAACTTTTTACTCATTTTTTGAGCATGCAAACTATTTAGCAACAACACAGATCTAAGGACTTTTATACACATCTTATGGGAGTATAATTTATTTATTTATTTTTATATATACATTTTTTTTGAGACAGAGTCTTACTCTGTTGCCCGGGCTAGAGTGCCGTGGCGTCAGCCTAGCTCACAGCAACCTCAAACTTCTGGGCTCAAGCGATCCTACTGCCTCAGCCTCCCGAGTAGCTGGGACTACAGGCACATGCCACCACGCTAGGCTAAATTTTTTCTAAATATTTTTAGTTGTCCAACTAATTTCTTTCTATTTTTTTAGTAGAGATGGGGTCTCGCTCTTGCTCAGGCTGGTCTCGAACTCCTGAGCTCGAATGATCTGCCCGCCTCGGCATCCCAGAATGCTAGGATTACAGGGAGTATAATTTAGCAATAAATTTCAGAAATCCTAAAGGCACACACCTAGTAGCAAATATTTTTATTTCTAGGACTTCACTGTAAGAAAATAACTGAACATGGGTACAAAAATTACCGTACATTAGAAAGTTAACTATAGTATTTAAATAGCTGAAAACTGGAAAATCACCTAAATATTTAATGGTGTATGTTAGATACAGAATTTCTATATATTCATCCATACAATGGAATAGCAACTATTAAAACGGACACTCTAAATGTTGATTGGTTTATGTGGTAGGTTGTATTATTGGTGCCCCAATTTTCTACCCCTCTCTACGTCCGGGCCCCTAGCTATGTAATTTTACGGTGCCTTCTCATTGCGAACAGGATGGAACTCTCCACCCCTGGGCTCAGCCATGTGTTATGTTTTGATCAATGGGATATTAGCACAAGTGATGCAACCAGGAACTTAAAAAGCACATGCCTGATCGGGCCTACTCACTATTGTGCCTCTACCATCACTATGAGAAGAACATGCCTAACTTAGTCCCCTGGTCCAGGAGGATGACAGACATGTGGAACAGAGCCCAGCCTAGATTAGCCAACTCTTGCCAGCCACTGATGCATAAATGAAGCCCAATGAAACCGGCCAACAGACTAGCCATGTCCAACCCAGATCAGCTGATTCCTAGCTAACTTAACTAGGTTAGTTAAGTAAATACTTGTATTTTTAAGCCACTGAGTTTTGAAGTGGTTTGTTAAATAACATTTTTGTGGTACTAGCTAATTGATACAATTTTTAAAGTCTGGAAGAAAAATACGGGGGAAAAAATCTGGAAATATACACTCCAAATGCTAATGGAGGGACTTCTAGTGAAAAAAACAAAAATGGTAGATTTATCACATGTGTTTATCATCTCTCCCCCGCAAAAACCTGACTGAAATGACAATGAGGGAATGAAATTAGTATTAAACCTCAAAGAACATAAGGTTATAGCAAAATAAATTTGAACACAACAGTGGAAAATATAAAGCAGGTAAAAGAGGGGTAAATGACTCGGCGATGTAGAAGAAATTACAGCTCGGTGGCCAACAGAAAGGAAAACTAATACAAATCAGGCCAACTCATCCCATAGAACTGAGAAATTCAGCACCTGAATCAGGTACTATGGAAGGTAGGAGTAAGGTACAGAGATGAAAATCAAGCTGAAAGTTTGTATAGAGACCAGACAGAACCACAGGTCTCACCCCAAATAGGGACAACCCAGTGACCACTCCTATACACCCCATCCCTCTAACTTTCTATTTCTGCAGGAGACCACAGTTCTGAAAGAGACACATGTCTTGGAGCTACTGAACACAGTAATGGGCTAAGGAAGGTGTGGGCTGAAAAATAATGAGATTGTATGAAAGTCTATCGTCTGAAATCGGCCACCTTCCCTGTTCCTGCTCTCCCAACTCCAGCAGCCAGTCTTATGCAACCTCCACCCCAAACCAACCCCAACTCTGCTACCCCAGGCAGTAAATTAGAAGATTCCTCTCTGAAAAACTGAATAGTTTCGGAGGAAAATAAAATCTACAGACAATGACATTTAGGTATGCCTCCTACAAAAAAGGCCAGTTCACTATCTGATCTCCCTACAATGAGAATGATCCACCAACAAGCCCTGCCTATATAGAGAGTGTCCAGTCAATATGGTAGCTCCTCACTCTTAAGTAGAAACAGATGGGCAGGATCACCACACAAAAAAGAAAATACCCACATATGAAAGAATGAGCCCAAAACAAATGGAGGTGAAGGGAGGAAGGACCAGGAAGAAAAAGAGACTATGCTTGGAACAGACGGAAACTGAAAGAAAGTATACTCAGATAATAGAGAATACTGTGGTAATAAAACAAAAATAGGATGCTTCAAAGAAACAACTGGAAACTAAGAAAGAACTTAAAAATGTAATAAGTAAAATTAAGAATGCGATAGAAGAGTTGAAAGATAAAAACAAGGAAATATCCCAAAAAAGAGGAAGCAAAAAAAGATGGAAAAAACAATAGAAAATAAAGTGTGTATATTTGATCAATCAAAAAAGTCCGACATCCAAAAAAACAGGACTGAGAAAGAATATGAAAAATAATATAAATACCTTCTAGACTAGAACTAACGGACACTAGTTTGCATATTGAAAGGGCCTACCAAGTGTTCAGCATAATGAATTTAAAAAAGACTGCTGTCAAAACATAGCATCATGAAATTTCAAAAGACAAAACAAGTCAGGCACAGTGGCTCATGCCTATAATCTTAGGACTTTGGGAGGCCAGGGCAGGAGGATCACTTGAGGCCAGGAGATCAGCCGGAACAACATAGCAAGACCCTGTCTTTACAAAAAATAGAAAAAGTAGCCAGGCGTACTGGTGCACCCCTGTAGTGCCAGCCACTTGGGAGGCTGAGGCAGGCTGAGGCTGAGCCCAGGAGTTTAAGGTTGCAGTGAGCTACGATGACGCCACTGCACTCCAGCCTGGGTGACAGAGCAACACCCAGTCTCAAAAAAATAAATAAAAGACAATTATTGGCTGGGTGCAGTGGCTCATGCCTGTAATCCTAGCACTCTGGGAGGCCGAGGTAGAAGGATTGCTTGTGCTCAGGAGTTCTAGACCAGCCTGAGCAAGAGTGAGACCCTGTCTCCACAAAAAACAGAAAAATTATCCAGGTGTGGTGGCATGCACCTGTAGTCCCAGCTACTCAGGAGGCTGGGGCAGGAGGATTGCTTGAGCCCAGGAGTTTGAGGTTGCAATGAGTTAGAATGACAGCACTGCACTCTACCCAGGGCAACAGAGTGAGACTCTGTCTCAAAAAAGAAAAAAAAAGGAAATTGAATCCCTCTCCTCATAATCCCCCTTTAAGAATAAAAAAGTTAAAAAAAAAAAAAAAGACAATTATTAACCCTAGGAAGAATAAAAGGTTGTACAGAAGAGAAAAAGTAATCACACTTATATTTGCCCAGCAAAGGAACAATGCATATAGTGTTGTAAAATATAGGTACTGACTACTGATTTAATCAAAAGTGGGTTTTTTTTGTTGTTTTTTTTTTTTTGAGACACAGTCTCACTGTGTTGCCCAGGCTAGAGTGAGTGCCGTGGCGTCATCCTAGCTCACAGCAACCTCACACTCCTGGGCTCAAGCGATCCTTCTGCCTCAGCCTCCCAAGTAGCTGGGACT